GTTTCTTTTATCGAAAATTCAGTCGGAAGTATTTTAATTTATTTAAATGTGCCTGAATAAATTTGAAAGGGTTTTTTTTTAAAATACATTGATAGTTGCTCTCATTAAATATTTAAAAAATACATTATCAGTTGCTCTCATTAAATATTTAAATGTTCTTTGCGACTTGCTTTAAAATCTATATCAATTAAGGATATATTGAGACTTATGAAAAGTCTTCGATATGAAAGCATTTCGTATTCAAATTTATAATTATATTCCGGTCTTTTCTAGGTTTCGATTCGGTTCGGTTCGTTCCGTTTCCGTTTTGGTTTTCTTGCTTCCGCGTGAATTCGAATCGATTTCGAATCGAATTCGAATCGTTTTTATTCCCACTCTCAACTGTTTCTAGCTGTTTCATTAATTCGTTAAATTTTTGTTTAAAATGCCAGCTGAAATGATTTTTGATTGACCCCAGGCGAAACGAAGACTAATTGCAGCCTCAATTGAATACAGGTTGGTTCAGTTTCCATAGATGTCGTTGGCGTTTTTTTCAAGAAAGTATTATATAATAATTTTGTAGAAAAGATTACCTAATTAAATAAATAAAAGTAATGTCAGTTAAAACTGTAAAAGTTTGCCAAGAAAACGATCCGTTTCGATTCCGTAAAGATTAATCGAATTCGAAATCTAGATTAGGAAAATTCGAATTCACAAAGTTTGATCGGAATCGAAATTAAGTTCACCAATCTAATGCAAATTCACAAAGTTTGATCGGAATCGAAATTAAGTTCACCAATTCATTTAGATTTCGAAAATGTGGATCGGAATCAAAAGAAAGTACACCAATCCGATTCGAATTCAAAATGTTTGATCGAAATCGAAAAAGGATTCACCAATTCATTTCGATTTCAAAAATTTTGATAAATATCATCAATTCATTACGATTCCGAAAAGTTTGATTGGAATCATAATCTAAATCACGGCATATTATTTATATTTCATATTAAACCAAAGGGAATTAATTGGCTTTGCCCGAACTCAATTAATTTTAGACGTAGGTTTTCTATTAATATCTCTACATATATCAAATTTTATTTAAAATATATATTTTAAAATTAGTTTAAAATCGATTAGATGAAAAGCAAAATGCTGCATTAAAATCTATTAATTTTTTAATTATATTTAATTAATATTTGGAGCTTGGTAATTAAGCTAGAATTAAAAAACTAAACAAAACCCAACCCAAAATATTCGAATTGGATTTCGAATACTATATAGACCCAAGTTAAGCTATTCTTATCTAAAGCAAATCTTATCTATTTACGCATAACTGTACATGCGGAACTGTTGGGATTATTACGAGATTATGCCTTGCCGCATTTGGCGCGCTTTTTTCGATTTTCGGTTTGTTCGCAGCAGCTAGTTGCAGGTAATGTCCTAGGGGCAACAATAGCAGCAGCAGCAGCAGCAGCAGCAAGTGGGCAGGTACGCTGCGGCTGAGGCGAAGGTAGGTGCAGAGGCGCGCTGCGTAGGACGCGTAACCAGCAAAAAAAAAAAGAAGAAGAAAAGAAAAAAACAATATATATTGGCAGCAAACCAGTTTTTATAATGTCAATTCGAATCCTACACGTTCACGTCCATGTCCAATCCACACGCATTAAGCGCGACAGTCGCAAGTCGCGACGCGTCCAAATAATGACGACAATGCCAGCGCAGGCGCAGGCAGCGGGCGAAGGGCGCGGGCAGCGAGACGTCGGCAGCGACGGCGACGACAACGGCGACGGTGGCGATTGGTTGGCGTTGAATTTGATTTTGATTTCAGCTGAGTGGCTGCAGCTCTGAATGTTCCCTCTGCCGCTGCCTCTGCCACTGCCGCTGCCCCTGCCTGTTGTCAACCAACGCAACTGCATTGCGACCTACGATTTTCGACATGTTATTGTTGTTGTTGTTGTTGCTGTTGTTGCCTTTGTAATTGATGATGTTTACGTTTGGGTTCCCGGTCGCTCGTTTTGTAGACGCAGTTGATTTAAAGATTACGCACCTTTTGTGTGTGGGTTTTCGGAGAGTGCTTGTGACCGGCATATTAATTCTGAAGTCTTAATAATTTCTAATGTGTTTATCAAATGGTTTATGCCCATACCGAGATAATCATTTAAATAATGCTTATAATGTTTGCATATTTGCATATATTAAGGTATTTTATATCAGTCGAACTATTATTGAAGATACATTTTGAGTTTAGTAAGGAAGCAATTCAACTTAATATGCTTAACTACATCTAAATACTTAAATCTCTTTAGCCTGACGGACTGATTGACTGACTGACTGACTGACTGGCTGACTGACTGACTGATTGGCAATCTCTAGGAAGCTGACGTTTTTCACTATAGTTATTTTATGTTATGACGCTAAGTCGCGCTTTTGGGAAATTCCACCCGCAATAGTGGAACAAGCGCGGAACATATTTTGTTTAGTATTCGATCGACCTCAACTCATTCTCGAAGATCCTTGCGCCAATTCTCTTTTAGAAAAGCTTAAAGGTGTGTTTACTTTTGTCTTCAAATTTCTCACCACAAGTCTAAAATGGGCTTTAAGCGTTGATCCAACCAATAGGTCGACTCAAAGACGGCTATTTCGACTAAGTCGCACGTTAAAGACAGCTCTTATAGGGATAAAGAAAATACTTAATTCCCATAGAACGCACACATGCTGGAAAGGTAAAATATTTATTATAAGTACATGGCGATGACCACCAATAACAAGAATCAATTCGATATGGAGATTCTTACATTAAATATTATTTAAATATTATCTCAATTGTTATACAAATATACAAATATCGCATTGATAAGGTTAAAAGCATATCGAACTCAATTCGGTGAATACATTTTTTTGAATTCTTGTTGCGCGGTTCTTTTAAATCACCCGCGTTACGAATAATCCGTAAGGTTGCCAGAGTGCATTAATACCACATATAAAGTCAGTATTTTTTGTGAGCCAGGTTTTTTCACATCAACCTATGTTAACAGGGTGGACCCTTACAGCTGTAGGAATAATTCGTTAACTGCCTGTTTAACATATAAAAATAAATTTAATTGATGTTTTTATTTAAAGCAGATTGCAATTGATTCCAGACATTAATTAAGTTGAAGCGTTTCGGATCTGCAATTTGATACACAGGCCACTCAAAATATTAATTGGAAACTTCTAAATATACTGTTTTCAATATGTTTGCATTGTTGTCTTCTACACATGCAAATTCTCATAAGCAACATATTGATAATGAATCTATGAAGTTAACTGATAAGAATATAATTTGAAAGATTCAAAAGTTGAGGGCTGCCAGACTGTGGAAATCAATTTAATGTTTACATTTCAGTAGATGTTTAACATCTTTGTTGTAAATTCAGTGCTGCCACCTTACAGAAAAAGTCCATTCACAATAGGCGAACCAGTGGTACTCTAGTTCCATCACAGCGAGCCGGTTCAGTTGCCACCAGTTCTTTGCCAATCAATTTACGGGCCGTGTTTGTTTTAAGTTAAAATAAGTGAACAAATAGCAATATTAAATAAATTATACTATAAAATTAAAGTGCACAACTATCGACTGAGCTTCTAGCGACCGTGGGAATCAAGTATTGGATATGTCTCAAGCCGTAATATAAAATTGTGTGCAAAAATTCGGTTGTGCGGTGCTGAGATTGGAGGGGTTTGTACCTAAATGAATACACGATATGTATGCGGGTGTGTGTGTGTGTGTGTGTGTGCGTACGCTAGTATGCCCATCAGTTGGTGTGGGCGTGGGGGCGTAGTGGGCGTGGGAGGAGGCAATGATAGCAACGGCAGTGACTGAGCAATGCAAATCCTTTGTAAAAATACTCAACAAAGAATCAATTTCTTAATTGTGAGGCGGTGGCACTTGTCGCGACAAGTTGCCTTCCGTATACATGTGTGTCTCTCTCTATGTGTGTGTCTGTGTGTGTGCGTGTGTGTGGTAAGGTCGCCCAGTTGAAAGTGTCAAGGAATTTTACAACAACGTCGGCGGCGGCAAAGGCACTCACGAGCAAGGTAAAACCTTCGCCCGAGACCGAGCCCTGAGCCTCGAGCCATACCGCGCCCAATGCGCGCTCTGCATTAAACGTGACCATATATATATATATATATATGTGTACATGTGTGTGTGTGTGTGTGTGTGTGTAAGTGTGCTGCCCAGGACCTGATCCTGCCGTGATTGAGAGCCGAGTGCATTCCAAATTGTTGCATTTGTCAACTACTCAACTCTTGTACACGCAGTCCCGGATATCCAGACCCTGTGAGAATTTTTATGGCATTGCTTACATTGTTACGATTACAATTTTTGGCATTTTTACACGAACTTCGCCACGCGCCTGCGCTTTGAGCCACACCCCCGCACCCCCTTGCATTCTCCCTCTCCCTCTCCCACTCGCTCTCTCTCTTTACTGTCGGCGCTCACTCTCACTCTCGTAGTTTGGAGTACCATCAAAAAAGTGTGTTTCGACTTCAAGTGTGCTCTGCCCATAATAAAACCTCAACTATTATAAGCTTAAAAAAACAAAAATAAGAAAGATGAAAAACAAGGTGAAGGAAAACTTGTCCAGCATTTAGGAGCTATTGTTCCTCTACTATGCTGGCCAGTGTAGTGGCAGAGTCTAACAGTAAATGCCTTGTTTACATTTTGTGGACGAGCGCAGGCAAACATTTCCGTTCCGAAATTCAAATCGTTAACTGACAGTTAAACTTCCTTTTGGTCGGTGGAAATTTTCGAAACGCTTTTTGGGGCTGTAATTGATTTGGGTTCGGTGGGCACTCGGCCACCTGTGATTGACACATCTGCAGGACCTGATGAATGCCCATTTTGATTTCCGTTTACTTTGTTTCCTGCGCCCTGTGTTTACTCACATTAACAACTTTCTGTGTCATTTTTCAGTTACATGCGACGAGATGAATCTTTAACAGCAGCAACAACAACGAAGCAACAACAACAACAAGAAAACATACACACACACAGAACTCGAAACTCGTAGCAAAGACTAAAGTTCATTGAAGTTTTGTGGACTCGACTTGTTGTTTGACCAGGAGCATTAGGAGCGGAGCCGTAGTCGGGGAGCAGCCGGGAGCCGCAGCCGTGGTGCAGTGGTGCTCATCAATATTCGAAAAAGCAATTGAGCCAGGCGGGCGCACGCATTAATTCATCAATTATTCAAAATGACCGAAGACGAAATTCTCTTTGACGATGTCTACGAGCTGTGCGAGGTTATTGGCAAGTGAGTTCCATTTGCTTTCCCATTCTTCTTCTTCCTCTAGTCGCTTCGGCTGCCACATCTCATTATGTGTTGCACGCACTAAATCATCTGTCGACGCCCCAAACGGGGGCCAGCATTCAATGCGAACTTGGCAAACAGCAGCTTGCCTCAAAAGTTGGCCAAACAAGTTTTGGGCGCCGACTCTTACATTATGCATTAATATTTATGTGGCGCTCGTTTAGTCGATCCAAGCAACGAAATTTCGCTAGTTTTGACACGAATATGTTGAATATGTTTGGCAAGTTTGCAAGCCTTTGGCCCGATAAGGTCAGCGAGGACATTTGAAATCAGTTCATAACTTTTACTAAACATTTATTACTTTTTTGCATTCCATACATTTCAACACTACGCAGAGGACCCTTCTCCATTGTGCGACGCTGCATACATCGAGAGTCCAACCAGCAGTTCGCTGTCAAAATTGTTGATGTGGCCAAGTTTACGGCGAGCCCCGGACTGAGCACAGCGGGTGAGTTACGGCGACGACGACCTTGCCCCAAGCGCAGCTCCCGAAGCACTTTCAGTGAATAAATTATAATTAAGCTGTGCGCAAATTATACAAAATTTGCTGCTACTAATTGTGCGGTAACAACGGAGCAAAATTAAGAACGTGCCGTTCGCGCAGCACGGGACAGGGTATGCGCAGCTTAGAACTTAGTCGACGGGCCAATTAAAAAGAAATTGCTCAAATGAACTGGCGTCTGCACTCGGATATTGACTAAATGATACATGGCTGGCACATAAGTCAGCCCCAAATCCATTAGAGCTCCCGGCCAGCTGGTGTCCCGGACAAGGGCGCTGGGCGCCTTGTGAGGGGGTGGTGCGAGCGCGCGGGCGGCCATACAAATGTTACTTATTCTAATATCAACTAATTGCGCGCCATTACAGATCTGAAACGCGAAGCCACAATATGTCACATGCTGAAGCATCCGCACATAGTCGAGCTGCTCGAAACCTACAGTTCCGAGGGCATGCTCTACATGGTCTTTGAGTTGTAAGTAACACACACACACACACACACACACACACACACAACTTTCTGTATATATATATTTACTTACATTCGAATGTGGGCCACTTAAATATTTCATTTCCTCTTGCTTGCAGCATGGAAGGCTCCGATTTGTGCTTTGAGGTTGTGCGGCGTGCCGTCGCAGGATTTGTCTACAGCGAGGCGGTGGCTTGGTGAGCATCGACACATTGCCCAGAATTATAGTATTATAACGGAGGTTTTTACTTCAAATCTCAATCGATCAGATTCTATATGAGGGCAATCAATTAATATTTAATGGGAATACTTAGGACAAATGAATTAGGCCACATTTCGATTTTAATTACACTATGCAACGGAATTACATTTTTTGTTACCGCTGAAATTTATATTTTTTAATAGATTTGAAACATTTAATAATGAAATGGAGCTTTTAAATGTTTTGTTTAAAGGCAATAGATATTGTACCATCTATTACTTCGGAGTTAGTTAAAGTTAAATTAGCCCTTGTCCAAGCATAATTGAAATAACTCCATTTCTTTATTAGAGTTGCCAAATCGAAAAATATATCCCTCTTATTAAAAGATATTATATGCTGTTGCATAGTGTTATTAACTATGTTTGAATGCCAGCAGAGACAGCTCTTTACTTCCGATGTACTTAGCTATTCGATATAAATATTTTAAACAGATTGTGTGGATTTTAATATTAAATAATCTGGCATTGTAAACCCGCTCTGAATTCTTTTCGATCGTTAACAAGATAGGCGTGTATTTCAACATAATTTGCGAAGTTTCTACACTTTTGCAATTGAATAGTTATTTCACATATTTAATAGTTAAAGCTATGAATTAGATTAGAGGAGAGTTAACCAAACAAAATAATAAGGCAACTATCTTAGAATCCATTCCTTATAGTCGAAATAGTTTATGACAAGTTCATATGTCTGTAGAAACTCTTTTTATATGTAAGTAACAACAAAGTTATTTCCAAGAATTGCATTCATTTATTTTTAAAATACATATATCAACTACTAAGCTGATTACATATTATTTAGATTGAATAGTTAATCTAACTGAAAGGAGTTAGTTTTTATTTTAAAGCTGAGCTGCATTAGTTACATGCATTTTTGCTTTATTTTATTTACTCCATATTTTTTTTTGGTAAATCTGAGTAAAACATATTTGCAAACAGTCAACTATCTGTAAACTTAACAAAATACTAATTAGGTTATTTTGATAAATGTCGCATAATTTCATTAACTTTTTGTATTGTTATTGCCAACAGCCATTATATGCGCCAAATACTGGAGGCGCTGCGTTACTGCCATGAGAACGATATACTGCATAGGGATGTGCGGCCCGCTTGTGCACTTTTGGCGACAGTGGACAACTCGGCGCCAGTGAAACTTGGCGGCTTCGGCTCGGCGATACAATTGCCGGGCACGCGGGAAACCATAGAAACACACGGACGCGTGGGCTGTCCGCACTACATGGCGCCAGAGGTGGTCACACGGCGTCTTTATGGCAAAGGCTGCGACGTTTGGGGGGCAGGTGTAATGTTGCACGTTCTGCTCTCGGGTAGGCTGCCCTTTTTGGGTTCCGGTGTGCGACTGCAGCAGTCTATAGCACGCGGAAGGCTATCGGTAAGTGGACAGATGATTAATAATATGATATATAATAATAATATGATTAACCTTTTTGATTTTCAGTTTGAAGCACCTGAATGGAAATCAATTTCGGCCAATGCCAAGGATCTAGTCATGAAAATGCTCGCCGCCAATCCACACCACAGACTATCCATAACCGAGGTGCTAGAGCATCCCTGGATACGTGATCGCGACAAATTACAGCGCACGCATCTGGCGGATACTGTTGAGGAATTGAAGCGCTATAATGCGCGACGCAAGCTCAAGGGCGCCGTGCAGGCCATTGCTGGTGGCACCAACATGGATCCGGTCTATGCCACGGATGCGGATAGTAAGTCTGGATAAACGAAAATAGTCGAGCAATTGCTTTAATAGTAAGTTTTCCGCTTTACAGTGCCCATTGCGGGCGCACCGGACGAGTGGGCAGACGAGGAGGCGGGGATTGAGGCAGTGCAGCGTATATTGGACTGTCTGGATGACATTTATTCGCTGCAGGACGCGCACGTCGATGAGGACGTGCTGCGTGATATGCTGCGCGATGCTCGATTGCAACAATTTCTGCAGCTTTTCGATCGCATCAGCTCCTCGGTCATCACGACCAACGGCCGGGCGCCCAGCGCCGAGGCTGTTGCGCGCAGTCGCGATGTCCTGGAGCTGTTGTCATCGGCCAGTTCCGCCGGGGGCAATAAGTATGCCAAGGATGAGCTGATGCAGCTGCTCGCCGCGCCGCACTTGCAGGTTAGTGCACTTTTATTGTATTTATTCTGTATATGCATATTTACTTTGCATATATATGTATATTTGTGGCTATATATTTGTGGCAAGCTGTCAACTGAGGCACATGATTATCTACATTGTTGCGCTGTATATATATATATATGATTCATGTCAGCTACCGGCCATGCGGTCTTAGCAATCTACGGTCCACTCTGTAGTTCGGTTTAACATAAGCCAAAGCAAATTTGAAATGTATTTAGTGCCAGCAAACAAATGCAAAGGTAAATGGCCACGAACCACCACCACCACCGCCACCATTACTATCCACTCCCAAAGAGCTGTCTCTGCTTGTCGCTGGCAGTCACTAATCCTGCACTCGAACAGGGACACACACTCGCCGGCATACAATGTACATACAATACATGAGCAAACAAACTGCGCCAGCTAATGCAACCAAAATACAAACAATTTAATCAGAATAAACCCAAATGAAATTCGGACGGTACGGATGCCCTGCTGGCTGGACGGCACTAAATCCTGCGCCAGTGTCCGTTCCTCTAGCTTCCCCCTTAGGGCTTTTTGCGCACGAAAGTATGCTACACAACTCAAGGGCCTATGTTGTTGTCGTCGGCGAGTGCCACACATTTGCAACAGACCAACAGAAAAACATTTAACTATAGAGCAAAATGTCGTATTTAGGCCGTTCGCCTCTCAACGATGTTTAAATACACTTAAAATATTAACAATTAATGCTTATACGTCAAAAAATAAACCAACGAAAGTCCGTGCAAGGACAGAAAGGATTATAAGAAAATCTTTGCTATAGTTTTTGGTAAATAAGTTTTAGTTATTTATCTCACAGACGTTTAATTGAGAAAGGAATTTTGTTGGTTTTGTAATTAATTATTTTCAAACAATTTGCGAAGGCATTGCGAATTGATCTGCTTTAAATTTCGATTTGTTTGATGAACTGAAGGCTTAGATGTTAGATGTACCCGTTTCTATGCAGAGTATGTCATTGTTAAGCTTTTTTCAACCTCTTTTAGCCATGTTCTGAGCCTGGCCGTATATTGATATCAACGTTATAACTCTGTGCCATTCACTGTCGTTAATTGCTCCTTGAAGCAGACTACACTTTTTTTTGCTGCTGGACGGCTGTGCTTTATTCTCGTAATACCCTCTACTTACAGAGCACATAGAAAGGAATTTTAACAGCTTGAGAACATAGCTGTCTGTGCTGAAAATTCACATGGGGATTAGTCCTTATTTCACTTTGTCGTATTAAAAATGTGTTAATGCTGTAGACACAATGTCTTTATTTCTACTGCATAGGAATTTTGTTTGAGTCTTATGTTTTTATAGAATTTTAAAAATAAGAAAGCAATTCTGAAGTCTTCTCTTAGTGAAAATTAAAGTAAAAATAGAGAAAGTTGCAAAATGCAATTATATATGCATGTGTTAATTAATATATCTTTAAATATATGCAGAAAGATAATATAAAATATTGCTCTACAAATTTTCAAGAGTAAATTTTAAGATTTATTTCAATTGCAGCCACTCAACATGAAGAAGAGGCCTTCTCTTTTGAGTTGATTGTATTTTATTAAAGTTAAATTTGGTGCAAAGAGAAGAATTGGCTTATACAGTTTTGCTAGTAGTACATTTAAAGTTATTCCAAATCAGCTTCAATCAGCGCAAATTGTTTAATTAGTTTGGATGTAACAAATTTAATCTTTCTCTACAACGAATCTCAGCTAAAAGCTCCGTTGTCGTTGCAAGTCCACTTTTAGTTTGCGATTACAGGGTATTTGCCAGTCATGACTCGAAATTCGTTAGCTGTTGTGCTGGGCCGCGGTCAGTCCATCTGTCTATTTGGCGTTTTGTGTGTGAAGCAAGCTGTGTGTCTCATTTTCATAAATTCATGGCAAAACAAGGAGAGAGGAAAAAAAACAGACGAAAAAAAAAATGAAATAAATGGATAAAAATGACAGACGAGATGAAGAACTGCACAAAACGCAGGCCCAGCGAGCAATGAGCGATTGTGTTAATGCTATACGCTGCGTCCAGTCAGAGAGCAGATTGCAAGATGTGTGTGTGTGTGTGTGTGTGTAGGGTGTTGGGCGTCGGGTAGGCGTATGTTGGAGAGAAAAAAAAAATAACAATAATTATTGTAAGGACCTCGGGCGCAGTCGAAACATCCGCTGCATTATCCCACTCTCACACTCTCTCAGCTCTCAGCTCTCAGCGCGTTGGCGCTGCAAAGTGCAGCGAGAGCTCTTGCTGCTGCTGCTGCTGCAGGGCAAATGCATATACGTGTGCATACACATTTACATATATGTATATATATATATGTGTGTGTGCGTGCATGCGTGCGGGCGCGCGCGTGTGTGTGTGTGACTTTATCGGTGTGTGCATGGCACTAACCAACCGAGCATTCGTGATTGACTTAAACAATAAAGCGCGCACAAATTTCAGTTTAGTTTGCGGCGCAGTCGCCGCGAGGGAACGACGACGACAACAACAACGCTGCAGCCCGAGCCCGAGCCGCGTAGCGCCCCCAGTCGGATTTATTTGACACTTGGCAAGTGACGTGTGAAAGAGGCGCCTAACGAGCGATTTCGCGATTGTCTCTGCCCGCGCCGCTGGCGCTTTGGCCCGGCCCCAAAAGGGTTAGCAGCTGGTGCTAAACAAAGCTCTGGGAATAGTGAGGTGAAACCTTCGTCAAGTCAAGTTAACTTTACCTCGAGTCTATTTCTCAAGTGAGTCTCACTTCGCGCCGCGCCGCGCCGCGCACCTCTCGCTTGACCCAATTAACGGGACGCGGACGCGTATGCGAATCTGGATGTGGATGTGGATGTGGACGTGAATGCGAGTTGTCTCTGGAGTGTTTAGTGTCGTGTCAGTGTGCCAATTACGCGCGAATTTCCGCAGTAACCTCCAGAAGAAGCACGTTGGCCCCGGGCTTTGGCACGGGCACGGGTACGCGCACGGGCACGGGCACAGGCATCGCCGCGCTCGTAGCCAAGTTTACAGCCACGTGTTTGGCGGCGAAAGCCACATGGGAGCAATTGACAAAAAGGCAACCGCTGTCATTGGCGGCGTACAGAACTCGACCCCGGGACTGGGTCTGGGACTGGGACTGGGTCGGGGGCGGTCGCTTCGTCAGAAACGGTGCTGCAGCATCGACTGCGCCTCTATAACTCAATTTAAATTCAAATGTGTGCCACGATACAAAAATAAAATGCAAACAAATTATAAAGCGGACGCCAATATCGAGCAAAGCAAACGAAATTAGCATAGAACTTTTGAATGGCGGACGAGGCCGTCGAGCAGGTGGAGAACGTTTGTTGTTGCTGCGACAGCACATCCATAATAACCACAACAACAACAACAACGCCAACAACAGCAACAACAACAACGCCACAATACAGCGTCTTTCAGTGGATCGGCCTGGAGACGGCCGAACTTTTGCCCCCGCACATAACGCGCTACTACAACAACCTTCACCTGCAGGTAAATTATAACGGCAGCAGCAGGTGTAGACGTCTCTGCCGAAATTATGCTGTTCGATAAAGACTTTTGCTGCCACAGTTAGTTTTGTGCAACTTGTAAAACGAACTAATAAGAATCATAATAAATATTGAGCTATATGAAATCGCTTCATTTCACATTACACATTTTCTCGCTATTTATTTGGAATTCCACATTGGCTCATTTTGCATATCTGCAACTTTTTCGAGCGTGTTGCAAGTTATTTTTTCTGCAATTTTGTCCCTGAAATATTTGTATTTATTCTTGAACAAAACTATTGTCATGTAAATATGTTTTGAATGAAGGACTATGCTGCTAAAATGAATGACTATATTTTCATTTAAATTAATGTATTTGAATCGTTGAAAGTTGTTTGTTGTTTATACTTTAGCTGTAGTTAGGTGTACATAGAATAATTATAAATTATCTAGAATTTTATATTGATTCGCTTGTCAGGGATTCGTGGAACTGCAATCGGAATCATTCGACATAAATACGATACAGAATATTGTAACCTTATTTCAAAATAGAAGATATAGAATGTAAATTTATTCTACAATATATTTAAAAAAAAGAAGATATATTTATAGGTATTTAAGGGCTGAAGATACCATGATAAAAGTTCTACAGTGTAACTTTATTCTACAATATATTTATAAATATAATTATGGGCCTTTAAGTCCTTAAGATACCATGATAAAAGTTCTTTAAATGAATATTTACTCTCAAGGACCTCTCTTATATAAAAAAACAAACGAGCCAACTTATAAATACCTTAACTATAAGCTGCTCTTAACTGGAATATACCAATTGTATAACTGAAATACGCTAAGTAGAGTTTTTAGTTCGTGTCAGTTACCTGTTCGTAACACGCTTTTTTCCCCATTTAGTTACGAACGTATCTGGATGCCAATATCAATTTGCAAATGGCTATTGAATTTGCATTTATTCTGGCTGCCGTCGCACTCGCGGCGAGCAATGCCCAATGTACCTTTGACTTGTTTGTGATTTGGCAAAGGTACACAAAGCAACATAGATTATCCATGTACGAGTGTGTGCGTGTGTGTGTGTGCGTGTGTGTGTGAACTGGCAACTAAACGTGTCAACAAGCGTGCATGCAGCGCCTGCCCAGAATTGGCCCGTACACAAGCCACGTTATGGGCCACGTTACGACCCTGTCCGGCCCACTGACACATTAAGCGTACCCCTTTTGGCCACACACACACACACACACACACACATAAATGTCGGACTGCTGCTGTTGTTGCGGGCAGTAAATGTTGTTGGCACCTCGATGAAATGACAAATTCGTTGCCAAATTGCCCTTTGACCAAAACGACTGCGACTGCGACTGCGACAACGACAGCTTTATGTTAATAGTTGATTGGGTGCTGCTGCTGTCGCATAGCTAGTATTACATGTGCTCTGGGCCTTGACCTACACTAGGCACGTATTTTGTGCCTTGACGGGGCCCTGGAGCAGGCCTTGGC